GCACACTTGGCTTATAACATAGAAAACTCTCAGCTATTTGAGCCCAGTTGTGTGGTACAAAAACATATAAATATTGCATTGAACAATTAATAAGGTCAACATTCTTATTGCATAAATTACTGAAAGACTTCTGATGACTATGACCTTCCTCATGAGATAAGAGAAAGCAAAGAGATAGCTTTGAAACAATGGAGTTCAAATGAAAGCAACTACAGCTTACAGTCATACATCACATTTAATAGAGTGTTTTGTTCTAAAATAAATCCATGGCAGATGTGAGAAAATAAACCATTTCAAAGTAGTATTTAAGACTGAAAGTTATTTAGTGAGATCAACCTTGGTCTTAGCTCAGGTTCTGCCACTTTCTAGTTGTTTATACTTGGTCAAGTTGTAGGAACAATAATTGTATCTACCCAGAATGATCATTGGGATATTTAAATGAAACTGTGTATGGGAATAATACAGTGCTGTGACCTTTACACAGTAAGAGTTATTACATATTAGCTCTTGTGGTTGTTTTTGAGAACTTCCCTCTTTGTCTGTGACTGCGACCCACAATATACAACACAAAATCAAGGTTAACTAAATGCAGGATTTAATCCATTTTTCTCTATAAGTCATCTCTCACAATAGCCTCCTCTTAAATAGTGTAATAATATTAGCCTAAATAATGTCTTAGTGACTTTAGAAGACTCAGTCTATAATCTAATTGAAAGTTGCCACAGTTTTTAATGTAATACTTCACTTTAATTTGATTTTCTTCGAATTTTTCATTCTGCTGTGTCTGATAATTCATTCCTGCAGAGACTGAACAATTACTGTAAATCATTTACTCTATTTTGGTGCACATAATAGTTTTATTCATATTACTTTATTTCTCTTAAAAATGGCATTCTGTACTGTCATGATACTCTTTAAACTCTTCATTTTGCAAAGATAGCAGAAAAGCAAGATAGTAGTAAATAATTCCTAATGGATTACATGTCAACAGACAGGAATTATAAGGATTGAACTGCTCTATGCTCTCTGGGTCTAACTGATTCTGTACTATTCTAAGAGTAAAACATATATCCAAAATGTATCACTTCTCTAGCATAATATATTATCAGTCTAATCTTGTAAAAAATAACCTCTTCATTTTTAATGAGATTTCAACTAACTCCACTTCAAAGTATCTTTGAATGTTCTTATCAAGTTAGGCTATTTTCAATAGTGTCAATGTCACTTTTTTATTATTTCATTCTTTATGCTACTAGGGTGCAATTCTGATCCCAGATTATGCTGCAAAAATTATCAAGATACAAACAAGTATGAACATTAACTTTAATAATAATGATAAACATATTTCATAGGCACTTTTTGGCCTAAAGTAGCTGAGTACTTTTGCCTCAGCTACTAGAATAATTTTACATAGTTACAGTTTGTATTTAGGAAAATTGAGGATAATTACAGAAGTTGATCTGATACATCATAAATGACCAGAGAATCAGAGAAAAGAAAATATAGATGATTAAATTTTCACTGTGAGAAAGTTCTCAGAATGAGGATTTTAAAATTACAGTTATGTTAAAAGTACTAACTTGTGCTCCATGACATATATAAAATAAATGATTTATTTACTTAAAGTATTCTTTAAAAAATTTCCCCAAGCTTACTGACTTTATGACTCTTAATCAAATGCATGAGACAACATGAAAAAAAATCACAGATGAGTGATTTTAACAAAGCATCATCTATGCACAAGGTGGAAAAATTCTGTCTCCGATTTCACTTCTCCATTCATCCTTTTCGAGTCTTAAAATATAGCATTCCAATTTTAAGTCTTTTAGCATTTGACTCAACAACCCATAACTCCCAGATTCCCTAGTTATCCTTGGAAGTAGAGATGACTCAGAACTAGGTTGGAATCTGACCTCTTCTCACTGGAAGCACCCACGGGCACATCCCAGTTTCATTACTGCTCTAGGAATTGGCCAAAATAATATAGCAAGTTGATTTTTTACCTCTTTCCATGAATATATGACCCCTGACTGAAGCAAAAACAAGTTACTAAGCTGAAAAGATCTCACCAAATACTGATTACTTAAAGATATTTTGAATCTGCCCATGGCTCTCAGCTTGAAGATGAACTAAGTGAATTTGTAGTCTTCCCTGTGTCTCTCAGTTAGCAAAGTACATTCTTAGGCCCAGGCTGAATGAAAGCTTATGGGAACAGTGACAGGCTTGGTTTTGGCCATGAGGAGCAACAGAGCTAAAAGCTGGCCTTGCCCAACAGGATGATGGAAGTTTCCCTTTCAGCCCTTCCCCCAGTGCTAGCATTCAGCCCGTAATTCTCACTATCTAGGGATTTTTAAAAAGATAGAAATTATGATCAGTGAAAACATAAATGTATGCCCAAGCTAATGATGCAATGCGTTAGTTTGTCTCATTTGCCAGAAGACATTTAAATGTTACTGGGTCTGTTTTGCTGAAATATTTGTGCATATTGTAAACTCATTTCAAGTGCTTCCTTTGCCTTCCTAAGTGAATTACTTTCATTTAATTAGGTTCCATGTCCCTAGCTCATCCAAGCTTCTCAGTGATATTACAATTTTTCTAGTATACAGAAAAAATATTTTACAGTCTGGGAAGTGAAATGAGACTAACTCAACTGATGCCACACACTCATTGCGCCACTGTAGTTTCAGATGGGAGGAGTCCATGAGATCCACTTAGGTGTGTCCATTCCCTTAAACTTCAACTCTTGTAATGTTTTTCTTTTTATACATAATTCTTTTGGAAGTACTCAAGTTTCCTTTTTTTATGTAAAAGATTTTCCCATGTTTCCTTTTGGCCTACTCCACTACTTGGCTTCTCTTCACATGTTTTTGTTTTTGTTTTTTAATTTTTGAACTTGTTATTCTCTGGGAACATGTTTTTGACATCTGTTTGTCTTTAGTAATCAAGATATTATAAATACTGGAATTACTCATACTATAATCTGCTTATATTCTTTACTTTTGCTATAGAAATTGCATGTGGACAAGGGATATCATAGAGCCATTGTTTTGTTTGTTTTTGTTTTTTCTTTTCAAGCAACTGGAAGTCTCATTTTTCTAATACCTCAATAGACTATCTTTGGATTCCATCTCTTCTTTCTCTCTCTTTTTTTATTAAATGTCCTCAGTGTCATTGTGCTTATTGTGAAACAAATAAATGTCAAGTCATAGTTATATAGTCATAGTTGTTAAGTCATGGCTTTTACTATAGTTAAATATAGTAGATCTATATAGTAGATATATAGATCCCTCCTGCCCAGAATTATTAGAGTAAATTATATAATATTAAGTATTTTCAGTCTATCCAATTCACAGAAATATATTCATGCTGTTAATGTTAAATGATTTATATTGATTCAGGAATATAGTATTGGCTTATTTATTTGTAGAAAGATAGGACAAGGGAGTAGGGGAAGTTTGGAATGTAATGGCAAGTGTTACTTTATTATATTTCTATATGTATTAAATAAGGAATATAGAATCTTATTTACAAAAAAGAGTTTAAGAACATATTAAATACCTGGCATACCACCCCAGGATCCTCACTGGCTATTGAACTACTGTAACAAAATCTCATCTTTCAGACAGATAGAAGGTTCAGAAGGTTGTTATTAGCCTGTATTATTAGCCTTTGCTAATTCTTCAGTGAGCACCAAAGATTTAAGAGTCTAGAGCCCTTTTCATTAGTTTCATTAGTTCCAACGCATGCCATTTGGTGTCATGCAGAAGTTCGCAGCTTTCCAGGAACAGTGTTCAGTTGGCAGAGAGGAGCCATCAATGATTAATTTACAAAACCCATCCTAGGCATCTGGAAGTAGCTTCAGAATAATGGCAGTCAGTGATGCTCAGTCAGGTGACAGGGTCCCTTTGCATTCCTAAGGTTCAGGAAATGGTGAAGGAAGCTGGGAAAGAGGGCTTGGAAGAAGGCCCTGCTGCATGTTTTCAGGAAGGCCTGGCATGCTACACACTTTGAAGAGCCAAACTGGGAGGGGAGACAGTTTGGATCCAAATGGTACATTCAGGGTAAGTAGAGGCAAGCAGTCATTGAGATTTTACTTATCTATGTTATCTCATTGCTTTCTTTCGCAGTCCATTCCTTTAGCACTTTTCCCCTCCAGGTGCCCACATGATCACATTCCTATCCCCAGTAGTAAAATGTCTGTGGAAGTAGAAGATGGATGGCGTGAAGTCAGTCTGCACGATCACAGAATCCCAGCTGCCTCCCGTGGTAGGAGACCTGGCGTGGCAGTTTCGACACCGACCATTTACCCTATCTTTGCTGTCAGGTCAAGGGTTCTGCCTCTCTAACTCACCTGATTTCTGGATCGTGGTTTGAGACGCCTATCTCTGTGGATTTCCTAAGTGATATTTTCCTAATAGTGATTGCATAAGGTCGCAGCTCCCTAGCTAGTGATTTTGCAGTTGGCTGATTTGAAAGAACAAACGTGCTTCTATTTCAGACATACTGAAGATCAACTAGACGCCGGGCAACGAAGATTCAACGGGAAACCAGACGGACAAAGCTTACATTCTGTTGGATTTAAAAGTTGTTTCTCAACATCCGCGCCGTACCCATCGCCAGCCTTCCAGGGCGAGGAGCCCTGACGGCTTCCAGTTAATTGTTCCAGAAAAGGACACATCGTCCCTAAGGGCCATTCGAAGGTGGCCTCAGTTCTCCGCCGACAAAATGTGAAAGAACGTACATCGCAGAGCAGTAAGGGCGGCAGGGGTCGTTCGCGGTGGCTTCTATTAGCGTCAATACGGCGAAGTCCGGGGACCTAGCCGGAGTCGGCAAACTCGAAGCCAAACAAACTCTGAGCTCACACCTCCCATCCTCCGCCTCCTCCTCCTCCTCCGACTGGCCGCGGCTGCCGCCGCGACACCGCTGCCCCGGGGGTCGCCCGGGGAAGGCAGGGGGGGTCTCGGAGCGAGCGGACCCGCGGTCGCCCCCCCACCCCTAGCATGGGCTTCGCCCTGGAGCGCTTCGCCGAAGCCGTGGACCCGGCTCTGGAGTGCAAGCTGTGCGGCCAGGTGCTGGACGAGCCCCTGTGCACGCCGTGCGGGCACGTCTTCTG